CAATGTGTTATTATTTAGTTTTTTTTCGTGTGATATCATTAAGACTTTAACTTCTAGTAGACTGGAAAGAGCGTATTACTTGTTTATGCTAATGAAACAAGGTCATTACTCTGCCCAGAGAATGTTCTATTTATTCTGTAAATCTTTAGTAAAAATGCTGAATAAATCTTCAGTGTGTTTGTAGTCAAGCATACTTCTATGCATTCAATATACCATTTTTTTTCTTTTTTGCTCAATTCCTTCACCACCACCATCACCACCCAGACTCCCATTCCCCCAGCTGTCAGCCTGCTTTCTGTCTATGAGTCTGTTAGTTCATTTTGTTTGTTAGTTCATTTTGTTCATTAGATTCCACATATGAGTGAAATCATATACATGTCTTTCTCTGACTAGCTTGTTTCACTTTGCATAATGTTCTCCAGGTCCATCCATGCTGTCGCAAAGAGTAGGATATCCTTTTTTTAAAGCCGAGTACAGTATTCCATGCCACATTATCCTATATAATAATCCTATATAATAAAAGGGTAATATGCAAATTGACCCTTACAGTGGAACAACCAGAATGTCTGCTCGACCAGTCACTGTGAGGTGCACTGACCATCTCTTGGTCCCTTTCCCTGACCAGCAGGCTCCGATTGCTATGGCAAATGGGGTATTGGGGGTGGGTGGCATGGGACACAGGTGGCCCCAGGCCAAGGCCATCACCTCACACACAGAGGGCAACCCATGGTGGGGCCAGGGGGCTGGTGGACGGGAACGGCCGACCTCTTGGTTCCTCCCCCTAGCCGACAGGCTCCGATCACCAATGGTGAATGGGGATCTGGGGGTGGGTAGTGGTGGGAGGCGGGGCTGGCTGCAGGCAGCTGGGGAAGATGGCCCTGATCGCATTCTAGGCCTAGGGCCATACCCACACACGAATTTCATGCACCAGGCCTCTAGTTTTCTATATAAACAGGCACTAGTGTTTTAGGATATGTATTAGTCATGTTCTTAGTGACTTAGAAACATTTTAAACATTTTGCAAGAAATTGAAACAGTGTTTTTCTTTTCTTTATATTTAAAGTTAAAAGTAATTGTTTCATTATTTTGAAGTTTGATTAAGCACATAAGGTTCCTGATTGATGTGTTCTTAACAAGTTGTACCTTTTACCAATAAAACTGCTCTTCTGTGCTCCAAGATTTCTGAATGGTATTTTATTTTATATTGACTTCTCTTTGTTAGCAGTTGCCTTCTATAACTTTTTTTACATTCCTTTTTGGCTTGTAATTGTCATAGTTAATGCTCTTGCCATAAGTACCTTGCTTTTTGTTTCTTTCTTTACCCACCCACCCCCCTCCTGCTTTTTGTTGTATTGATCACCTACCCCACTTAGGAGTTCGTTTTTAGTGGTAAGGAAGCAGTAGACTATTTCTGTCCTTGTTCAACCATAAATATTAGTTTGGGTAGGTAAACGATTTCAGATTTTAAGATCAAGATAATCTTCAGAACTTTGAAGTTGTTACATCATTGTTTTGTGTGTGTGTTTATTTTGTTTACCTGATTTTGGTGACATCCTGACACCAGTTTGGTTCTGCTTGTTTCCTTAGATACTCCTTTCTATGCCTCTCCTTCTAAACTTCAGATAGATAAATGTTGAAACTTCTGAATTTACATTCCATGTCATTTAACTTTTCATCCAGGCTTCTCACCTCTCTGTCTATCCTTTTTTTAAAAAAAATATATTTGTATTAATTTCAGAGAGGAAGGGAGCGGGATAGAGAGTTAGAAACATCGATGAGAGAGAAATATTGATCAGCTGCTTCCTGCACACCCACTACTGGGGATCGAGCCTGCAACCTTGGCATGTGCCCTTGACCAGAATCGAACTGGGACCCTTCAGTCTGTAGGCCGAAGTTTTATCCATTGAGCCAAATCGGCTAGGGCTATTCTCTTTTTTTATTGCATTCTGGCAGACCTTTTTGACTCCTTAGTCTAATATACAATCCATCCATTGAGTTCATTGTTACCATCTTTTTAATTTTCAATATGTCTAATTTGTACTTTTAAAAACAACCTTTTTAAAAAATATTGATAGATTCTTATTCTACTTGATGTTAACTTTTGTTTGCTTGGTTTATTCTATCATAAATACTAGTTTTCTCTTTGAGTTTGATACCTCTCTTTTTGGTACCTCTCTTTATGGTATTAATTTTCCTTTCTGTTAGCAGTTCTTGACAGTGTGGTCTCTTGGAAGACAATCAAGGTGTACTTGACAGTTGTCTCTGGACATAGGAGATCTCCACTCCTGGATGACACGGCCCTAGTACAGTCAGACTTAGGCTTTTCTCAGTGGAATGGAAGGGATGTTGAGTTTGCTTTAAATGCAGTTTTCCAGAAGTCACCTTAATAGTTCCCTCCCCCCAGAATCATAGCTACCTAAGAGATTCCTAGTCGTCTTCTGTTATAGATGTTTTGTGCCTAGGATTTTTCTGTCAAACTTTATAGAAGACTAGAGGCCTGGTGCACAAAATTTGTGCATGGGGTTGGGAGAGAGGTCCCTTAAGCCCAGCCTGCACCCTCTCAAATTCAGGACCCCTCGGGGGATGTCCAACTGTCGGCTTAGGCTGATCCCGGGGATCGGGCCTAAACCGGCAGTAGGACATCCCTCTCACAATCCTGGACCACTGGCTCCTAATCGCTCACCTGCCTGCCAGCCTGATAGCCCCTCACTGCCTCTGCATGCTGGCCTGGTCGCCCCACGCAGCCTGCTTGTTCAGTCATTTGATCGTCCCTCACTAACCCCCCCGCCGGCCTGGTCACCCCATGAAGTCTGCTTGTTCAATCATTTGGTCATCCCTCACTAACCCCGCTGCCGGCCTGGTCGTAGGCAGCCATCTTGTGAGGGTGTGGCAGTCAATTTGCATATTACCTCTTTATTATATAGGATGATTAAAGCTATTGACAAATGGAAGATTTTATATTCATCTACTAATTTGTGCTTTATTTGGTTTCTTTTATCCTCACACATACTAGTTTTAAAATACAGTGGGGCCTTGACTTACAAGTGTCCCAACTAACGAGTTTTTCGAGATACCAGCCGTCTCTCGGCTGATTTTTTGCTTTGAGTTGCGAGCTAAAATTCGGGTTACGAGCCAGCTTCAGATACCCCACCGCTAGCTGGCGCAGCGAACGTCACAGTGAACACCACAACATCAGCCCAGCATCACATGTCTCACTCGTTCACTTTTGATTTGACATACGAGTAATTTGAGTTACGAGCTCCATCACAGAATGAATTAAACTCGTAAGTCAGGGCCCCACTGTATGCATGTTCCTTGTTGACATTGGCTAGCTTAAATTAGCAGTTTTTATATTCTGATCTTAGTTCCTGCAAATTCTTTTTTGCACACTGTACTTAAAAAATATAACCATAGCTGTGGTTAGACTAAAAGAGAAGGTAAACAAAAGGTAAATGGAGGGGGGAAGTAGCAAAGAAAAATGAAGCAAGAGTAAGGGAGAAATGAACAAATAGAAAAAAGGGTTGTTATCTTCTCTTTGTGATTGAGATGTCCTGGGGCTTTCACAGTTCTGTAAGTTGTTTGAGGGAGCAGCCACTTCTGCTTTTGCTTTGTCAGTGCTCACCTGTTGGAGATATATGGATTTTTTCCCATAATCACATATTCAAGTTAGATGGTGTTGACAACAAAGTTTGGATAGAGACATGCCAACAAAGCTCTTGGACCTAATAGCAAGACTCTGGACAACTAGATTTGTCTACAGCAGCGGTTCTCAACCTGTGGGTCGTGACCCCTTTGGCAGTCGAACGACCCTTTCACAGGGGTCTCCTAAGACCATCCTGCATATCAGATATTTACATTACAATTCATAACAGTAGCAACATTACAGTTATGAAGTAGCAACGAAAAAAATAATTTTATGGTTGGGTCACAACATGAGGAACTGTATTCAAAGGGCCAGAAGGTTGAGAACCACTGGTCTACAGAGATGTTTCCCATATGTTGATTAACATGTTCACAACTGTCCTCAATGGATATTAACTACCATCTCTTTTGTATTGTGCACATGAACTGTGTAAATTGGGTGTTTCAGGAATCAGACTCTGAGACAAAGACAGTGCAAAAAATGTATTGATAAGCAAACAGTACATTTGGAATAATTGTAATAAAAATGACAGTGTTTCTAGTGTCTGTTCTATACTGTTGACAAACAGTCTAACAGAAAAATAGTAACATGCATAAATAAGTGGTTTTTAAAATAAGACAAATGACCAATGAATATGAAAAAATATGCAAATTAAATAATAGTGAGGAAAATGCAAATTAAAATAATATTGGAATATTAGTTTATACCCAAATTTTCAACCTTACTACAATTGACATTTTGAATGTGGTAATTCTTTGTTGTGGGGACTGTGCTGGCATTGTAGAATGTTAGAAACATCTCTAAAGTCTGTCCATTAGATACAGTAGCTCCCCTGCCCTCAGTTGTTAGTCAAAATGTTTTCAGATATTGGCAAATGTGCTCTAGAAGGTAAAATAAAAGATAGCAACCATACCTTTTGCTGGTAGGAATGCAGAAAAGTGGTACATTAAAGCACTTCAGCCTTTTGGGGGGAAAGTCTGAGTGGTTTTGAAATTAAAAATATGTAAACCTTTCGATTTAGCAATCCTATTACTGAGACTAGAGGCCCAGTGCATGATCTGGGCCTGGGAGGGATGCGGGAGGTTGGCCAGCTGGGGAGGAACTGCTGGAGGGCTCCAGGGCGTGCCTAGCCCATCTAGTTCAGTCCCCATTGGCCAAACCCCAGCAGCAAGCTAACCTGCCAGTGCACCAGCCCTGGTGATCAGTGCACATCATAGCAACTGGTCGACCCGTTAACTGTCTGGCCCCTGGTGGTCAGTGCACGTCATAGCGAGCAGTTAAGCGGCCTTAGCATATCAGCATATTACACTTTGATTGGTTGAATGGACAACTGGACACTTAGCATATTAGGCTTTTACTATATAGGATTATCCTGCTCTACTTAAAACTCTTAAATGGTGCAAGCGACTTGCACCATTCAGGTAAATGACCATTCTGAACACCCTCCTGTTTTCCTTCTGTCAGCTTATCATTTAAGCACTGTGATCTGAATCTATTCCTGACTATTGATAAGTATTTAATAATTGTTTCCTCTCGTTTTAGAACTCTCTTGATAGAGCCCAAGCAGCCAAGAACAAAGGCAACAAATACTTTAAAGCAGGGAAATATGAACAAGCTATTCATTGCTATACAGAGGCGATCAGTCTGTGCCCTACCGAGAAGAATGTTGACCTTTCCACATTTTATCAAAACAGAGCCGCTGCCTTTGAACAGTTGGTAGGTATCCTAGGTGGTTTTTTCTGGGGTTTTTTATTTCTCTTTATTTGTATTATGTTTCAGATAATGCCACTTAAATAAATCCAGTGACTTTTTTGAAGTTGTCTTGAAATTAAAGGATTTTTGTTTTGTTTTTATATCCTTTAATTTCATAAGTTTTTTAAGAACAAATTTTAGTTTTGCTTGTTTAAAATGTAATCCAAAATTATATATATCGGGTTTTATAAAATTAGTACAGAAAGCTAAAGTTTCTGGTGACACTATTCTCAACAGTTTGAGGCTGTTTCTTAAACTTTTTGTCTTAATATATGTAGTAGCAAAAGTGGGGGTTAAAGGAGAGGGAGGCCCTGGCTGGGTAGGTCAGTTGGTTAGAACATCGTCCTGATAAGCCAAGGTTGTGGGTTCAATCCCTGGTCAGGGTACATATAAGAGTCAGTCAATGAATGCATAAATAAGTGGAATAGCAAATCAATGTTTCTCTCTTTCTCTCAAATCAGTAAATATAAAAATAAAAAAGACCAAAGATGAGTTCCTATTACACATGTTGTTTGCAGCATTTTTTTTCAGTTACCACTATATCTTGTATAGCTTTTCATAACATATGTAGATCTGTTTCATTTTTTTAAAAGGCTGTATGTACTATTGTATATAGCTGTTGTATGATTGTATAATGGAAAACATCTCACTATTGTTGAACATTTGGATAAGTTTTTGTGCATACTTTTGGGAGATAAAATTCTAGAAATTGAAATATAAAAAGATAGCATCAATATCTATTTTCAACAATAATGTGAGCAGTGAACATGCTTGATTTTCAGTATTATTGCTGACTGATTATCACTTTTTTTATTTAATATATTTTTATTGATTTCAGAGAGGGAGAGAGAGAAACATCAATGAGGAGAGAGATCATCAGTTGGCTGCCTACTACATGTCCCCTACTGGAGACCGAACCCCTAAACCAGGCATGTGCCCTGACTGGGAATCAAACTGTGACCTCCTGGCTCATATGTCAACACTCAACCACTAAGCTACACTGGCCAGGCTGATTATCAGTCTTAATAATATTTGCCACTCCTGTAGAGGAAAAATACTGTCTCACTACTTTAATCTGCAGTTTTTGAGATGTTGCTGAAGTTGACCATCCTTTTCTATGCTTATTGGGCATTTGTATTCTCTGTGTTTATTTGTTCAACCAAATTTTATTAACCATGTCATATATGGAAGGTTACTATGGCAGGAGCTGAGTCTATATAAAAGCAAATAATTATGCATAGGACTTTATAGCTAAATATAAAGTATAGCTAAACAATGAACTACTAAATGACATTTTGCTAAATGCTTTGAAAGACACATGATTCTATAATAGAGGAATAACTGGAGATGGAATTAGTGCATAGAAAAGTGGGGAAGAGAGTGTTAGAAATAGTGGAAACGCTATGTGTAATTTGAGGCAGGAAAGAGTTTGGTGTGATTAATGAAGTATAAAGGATTCTGGAATATAAAGAGATGAAATTGGGAGAAATAGCAGAGGCCAGATCAAGCAAAGCCTTGCAGTGGTGAAGAGTTTGGATTTGATTCTGAGTATAATGGGAAATATTTAAGGGTTTTAAGTAGAGCAGGAACATCATCTGTTGCTTTTGCCATTCTGTCAAGACTATATTGGAGGAAGGCAAGGGTGGAGGCAGGGAGACCAACTAAGGATGTTGTAGTAGCCTAGATGAGCCATGAAGGAAAGCTGAAACCCAACAGCATTGGATGTGAAGGGTGAATAGAGGCAGGAATTTTAGTAACAATGGGTTGGGAAGGCATGAGACAGCTAAGTAGACAGTTGACTTGAGAAATGTCTATTTTAGGAGAGCGGTTTGGGCTAAAGCAATATACTTGGGAATCATTTCATTTTAGATGTTATGTAATACCAGGACAATAGACGTGATCACCTAGGGTAGTGGTCAGCAAACTCATTAGTCAACAGAGCCAAATATCAACAGTACGACGATTGAAATTTCTTTTGAGAGCCAAATTTTTTAAACTTAAACTATATAGGTAGGTACATTGTTATCAATTTAATTAGGGTACTCCTAAGCTGGCCTTTGCTAAAAACGTCCTCAATCTCAGGGGTCGACCTCAGCGAAAGTACCCCCATTTCTTCTAACGCCACTTCTTCAAAGTAGACTCGCCCAGGCCGAAAACCGACTTCTGCACATGGGCCACGAAGTTTCAATCACACTGTACGTTCCCACCCGCTCGTGGTATTTTATGGAAGAGCCACACTCAAGGGGCCAAAGAGCCGCATGTGGCTCGCGAGCTGCGGTTTGCCGACCACTGACCTAGGGAAAGTGATGAGGCCTTGACTATTCCAGCATGTAGAGATCAGGTAGAGGGAAAATTTAGTGAAGGAAATTGTGAAGGAGGAGCCAGTGAGGTAGAGTGGCAACTCTTTGGAGTTTGGCAGTAAAGAGGAGCTGAAGAATGGAGTAAAAGGTGCAGGGATTTATGGAATCAGTGGAGGGTTTTTAAAAGATGGTCATGGGAATGATTCAGTAGAGGGGGCAGATTGATGGAGAGGTAGATTGGCTAATAGAGTGGAGTCCCTAACGTGAAGAGAGTGCAGATCCATAAGTGGAGGGTTGGCCTTTGATAAAGAAGGGCACTTCCTCAGTTCTAGCAGGCAGGAAGAAGAAGATATGGGCACATAGATACAGGAAGGTTTGTAGATTTGGTGGTAGAAAGTTGACCTAAGTATGTCCTTTGCCTAGTGTTTTTAAAAAATCAGTTTGCTTATCTTTTTCTTTTATTATTTAAAGTATTACATGTCTCCTTTTTCCCCCATTGACACCCCCCATCCACTCCCACCCCCAAGGGCAAGCCCCACCGCCCTAGTGTCTGTGTCCATTGGTTATGCTAATATACAAGCATACAAGTCCTTTGGTTGCTCTTTAACACCCTCCCCTGCCCCTTGTCTCTGGGTCTATTTTTGTTCATCAGTTTATGTTGATCATTATATCCCACATATGAATGAGATCATGTGATATTTATCTTTCTCTGACTGGCTTATTTAACTTAGCATAATTCTCTCCAGTTCCATCCATGCTGTTGCAAAAGGTAAAAGTTCCTTCTTTTTTATAGCAACGTAGTATTCCATTGTGTAGATGTACCACAGTTTTCTTATCCACTCATTTGCTGATGGGCACTTAGGCTATTTCCAAATCTTAGCTATTGTAAATTGTGCTGCTATGAACATAGGGGTGCATATATCCTTTCTAATTGGTGTTTCTGGTTTCTTGGGATATATTCCTAGAAGTGGGATCACTGGGTCAAATAGGAGTTCCATTTTTAACTTTTGAGGAAACACTATACTGTTTTCCACAGTGGCTGTACCAGTCTGCATTCCCACCAGCAGTGCAAGGGGGTTCCTTTTTCTCCACATCCTCGCCAGCACTTGTTGTTTGTTGATTTGTTAATTATAGCCATTCTGACAGGTGTGATATGGTACTGCATTGTTGTTTTGATTTGCATTTCTCGGCCTTCTGTACGTCCTTGCTTATCTTTATTACAGATATTTATATGACCTATAGATATTCTTTATATGTATTGAAAATACTTTTTTCTATTGTCAGACTCTTAACACTCAGCGTGTTAAGTTTGGAAAACTGATTTCTGTCAAACAGTGCTTTAGTGTGACTTAAAAAATACTTTCAATTGCAGCAAAAATGGAAAGAGGTGGCACAAGATTGTACAAAGGCTGTTGAACTTAATCCCAAATATGTGAAAGCTCTCTTTAGACGTGCAAAAGCCCACGAGAAGCTAGACAATAAGAAGGAATGTTTAGAAGGTGAGGATATTTTTGTGTTTCCATGTGAAAATTAATGGTTTTGTAATCATTGGTAAATTTATATGAAACTCTGCCTGTAAGTAGAGAAATCAGTTGTATTTAAAAGTTCAACTCTTTCCGGATTGAGACTTTGTTTTCCGGTTTAAACTGAGATAGCTGATATTTGAGTATTATCTCTGTCCATTTATGGAATTAAATTATTATGATTCGGATTTAATACACCATACATTTTAAACTTGGCAACTAATGAGCATCAGTGTAATTCCATGAGTAAAAAATCAGGAGTTTTAGTAAGTGGTAGTTTTTCTAAGATTCTACGTTTTCTGTTAATATCATATATAAATCTGAAATAATTTTGAAATGACTCATTAAAAGAAAATTTTTTTGCCCTCAGTATTTTTCAAACATTTTATACCCAATTAGAAATTATGTAATTAGTACATAGCATGACGTGAAACTGCCATTCTTAGTAAATACTATAACTATTCTGGTACCAAAATTTCAATTATAGTATAGACCGCTGGGTTTTTTGTTTGTTTTGTTTGTTTATACAGTACATTTGTGTTGGTATTTTCAAAATATATTTTTATTGATTTCAGAGAGGAAGGAAGAGGGAGAGATAGAAACATCCATGATGAGAGAGAATCATGGATCAGCTGCCTCCTGCAAGTCCCCCATAAGGGATCGAGCCCACAATCCGGGCATGTGCCCTTGACCAGAATCGAGCCTGGGACCTTTCAGTTTGCAGGCCAACGCTCTATCCACTGAGCCGAACCAGCCAGGGCTAGACCACTGGGTTTTAAAGTACATTCTTCTGGGTGACGTGGAGCTAAACCAAAGTGTAATTTCTACCATCTAAAATTGTTCTCCGCTGCACATTTAAATCTTACATAATTAAAAACATAAAACACTCAGAAGATTTACCCATAATTATTATTTGTTTAAAAAATAGATATTGCCGAAACCAGTTTGGCTCAGTGGATAGAGCATTGGCCTGCGGACTGAAGGGTCCCAGGTTCGATTCCGGTTAAGGGCATGTACCTGGGTTGCGGGCACATCCCCAGTAAGAGATGTGCAGGAGGAGGCTGATTGATGTTTCTCTCTCATCGATGTTTCTGACTATCTCCCTTCCTCTCTGTAAAAAAATCAATAAAATATATTTTAAAAAAATAGATATTATTTTATTGATTTCAGAGAAACAAACGAGGAGAGAGAGAATCATGCAATTGGCTGCCTCCTACATGCCCCCAGTGCCTCCTACACGCCCCTACTGGAGACTGAGCCTGCAACCTAGACATGTTCCCTAACTGGGTATCGAACCATTACCTCCTGGTTCATGGGTCGACGCTCAACCACTGAGTCACACCAGCTGGGCTAGCCTTAATTATTATTACTTTTTTATCTTTATTTTTATTGATTTCAGAGAGGAAGGGAGAGGGAGAAAGAGAGATAGAAACATCAATGAGGAGAGAATCATTGATGAGTTGCCTCCTGCCCGCCCCCCCACTGGGAATCAAGCCTGCAACCCAGGCATATGCCCTTGACCGGAATTGAATCCGGGACTCCAGTCCACAGACTGATGCTCTATCTACTGAGCTAGACCGGCTAGGGCCATAATTATTTTTAATAGTATTATTACTTAAAAGTGCCGTTTTATTTTTTAAAACCTGCATTACCAAGTGAGAGTGGTTTACAGAACATTTTAGAAAAATTTGAAGTTTTATGGCAGTGATGGCGAACCTTTTGAGCTCGGCGTGTCAGCATTTTGAAAAACCCTAACTTAACTCTGGTGCCATGTCACATATAGAAATTATTTGATATTTGCAACCATAGTAAAACAAAGATTTATGTTTTTGATATCTATTTTATATATTTAAATGCCTTTTAACAAAGAAAAATCAACCAAAAAAATGAGTTCGTGTGTCACCTCTGACATGCATGTCATAGGTTCGCCATCACTGTTTTATGGTGCCATGAACTTTGGGGTGGGTGGAAGTATATTGCTTTGGAAAAGAGAATTCTGAGTTTTGAATGAAATCTTGAAGTTATTCATAGATAATTTATAAAGAGGAGGTTAAATGGATTTTAATAGGAAAAATAGGATGGGAAAAAGGCATTGATACTGGCACTAGCCAGGCTTTTGGGAGCATAATAGCAGAAAGACTTCTTTGGAGAAGAGAAGATTTGAAATTGTAAGAAACTGAGTTCAGAAAAAGGGAACAGCTATTGTTTTAGTACTTTTTTTTTTTTTAAATATATTTTATTGATATTTTACAGAGAGGAAGGGAGAGAGAGGGATAGAAAGTTAGAAACATCGATGAGAGAGAAACATCGATCAGCTGCCTCCTGCACACTCCCCACTGAGGATGTGCCCGCAACCAAGGTACATGCCCTTGACCGGAATCGAACCTGGGACCCTTCAGTCCGCAGTCCGACACTCTATCCACTGAGCCAAACCGGTTAGGGCTGTTTTAGTACTTTGAATGAAAAGTTAGTAGATTAAGGAATCACTGATCTTTTAAATTACAAACTAATATATCTTGGAACTATGGCATGACCAGATGAAAATGGTATTTTGAAGTATATTTAATTGAGAGCCTTGGCAAGATGGCTCTGGAAATAATAACTCTGAGGCCTATAAAAAAGACCAGATGTGAGAGTGCCTCCTTATGTTAATTTAGCCTATAGTTACTGGCCTGAAGAGAATGCTCCTGAGTTCGTTTTATTTGCTATGTAAAATGTTAGTGCAGTGCAGAACATCACAAATCATGCACTACAGTCTCTTTCACTTCCAGGTGAGGAAAGTGAATCCCATAGAAGTGGAGTGACTTTCTGAGCTTTGAGTTTGGTCATAGAATATATAAAATAAAATTTAGGAATCAATTTATTGAAAATGAAATTGATAGCTACATAAAGCTATGAATTTAGTTTCACTTTCTGTGTTAAGATTGTGCCCATTTGATGCTGCTAATCATCTTCACAATAATTTCATACTTTTATTTTTCAATTATTTCTAGACGTCACTGCTGTGTGTATATTAGAAGGGTTCCAAAATCAACAAAGCATGCTGTTAGCTGATAAAGTTCTTAAACTTCTTGGAAAAGAAAAAGCCAAAGAAAAATACAAGGTAAATTAATCTGAGTTGGTTAATAGAGGATGAGTATACATTGTGAGTGGTCATTTCTAATATATAGTGTTTAAGCTTGAGCATGATGGTAATGATAACTGCAATTAGATCTGGATTATATTTATTTTTCCTTTTAACTTGGTATTCTGTGGCTTATCTTTTTTAAAATAAGATGTAGGCTGTGTCCAGTATTGTACCCGGAGAACATTGAAAGAATTTGTCGATATTAGGAATTGTCAAATGGCCCACAGGCCAAATCTCATCTGCCATTTGTTTTTATAAATGTTTTATTGGAACTCAGCTGCTCACACATTATTTTTGGCTGCTTTTAAGCTACCACAGCAGAGCTGAGTGGTTGTGACAGAGGCTGTCACAAATACTGACTAAATATTTACTCTCAGGCCTTTTACAGAAAAAAATTGCCAATTCCCGTTTTATATCATTAAAGTTTTTAAAGTTGTACTATATAAGTAGCTATTAATTTTAAGCATTCAGTAATAGTTTAATTCAAGAAACATTCATTGACCAAAGTTCCGTGGTGGGCATTTTAGAAGAATGGGTACAAAGACTGGTCCTTGCCCTTACAGAATTATAGTTTAGTGAGGGAAACCATGATAAGTATAAAAGGCATCGTATAGTTGAGTGCCAGGGAAGGATATGAGTAGAGTGGTGTGGGAGTACCACAGTCATCACTAAATATCCCTAGAGATTTTCTGCTAAATGTCAGTAATTTAACAGTGGTTCCTTTTTTCTTTAATAATAACTCGCTTTTTTTAAAAAAGAATTAATTTTAACAAGCTGTGTATATTTTTAACTTACCATTTTCAAATATTACCTGAGTTAAACAGTTAAAACAGGTTTCATCATGGTAGAACTTTCATATCCTCAGATGAGTTATGAATCTCTAAGAGGAATATAGATGTAGTGGTTCTCAGTCTCTTTAAACTAATGATCCTTTGTCTCTCATTGAGCACTTTATAGAACTGGTGTTCCTTAAAACACTGTAAAATGGAATCTTAAAGGAACCTGGTTTCTTTGTGTTTACTTATATAATCCTAGTGACCCAGTGCACGAAATTTGTGCACATTAAAAGGGAGTTAATTAGAGGAAATATGTTAATATTGCTATTTTCCCTTTCTCTATAATAGAAATGTCAGAAATGAAAGAAAATTAGTAAAATGTATATGAAAGTCTTCCTCCTGTCAGAGTTTGGGGCACACCGCGGGAACCAGAGTCAAGTCCCCACCCACCCACATGCGCCCCAAAATCTCACGAGACCCAGACCCAGCTGGTCCCACCCCCGTCAAGCCCCACCAAGTTGGGGGCATGGCCTCAGGTTGTCTGGCCTGGCACTAGGGCAGGGGGTGCGCCTTGAAGTCCCCTGGCCCTGGGCCAGAGGACATGGCCTGAGGTCCCCCATCAAGCCCTGCCAGGCGGGGGGGTGGGGAGGGGGCAGCCTAAGGTCCCCTGTCAAGCTCCACCAGGCGGGGGTCGCAGTCTCAGGTGCCTTGCCCTGGCCCAGCGCCACGCAGCCTCAGGTCCCTGCTGATTGCTCATTAAGGCTCATTATGGGAACTCGGCCTCCACTGTGGGTGCAGCCATCTTGTCAGGATCCCCGCCTTTGCTGTGGGCACAGCCATCTTGTTACAGCGTAATGGTCAATTTGCATATTCCCTCTATTGGATAGGATTACTGTTGAGGAATTGTACTGGTTGAATTGAAGGGTGGTAAGAAAATACAAGGTAACTTACATTTACAGAGACTCCATATCATTTTCCAGGTGTATTTTCTAATCTGTTTGTATGTCACTTTATAAATCACAAAATACTTTATATTACTGTTTTGATTTTTACAACAACTCTGTAAGATAAATAAGGCAAGTATTTTGTTGCCATTTTAGAGATGAGAAAACTAAAAATGACAGGTGCAAGGTCACATAAGCTCATAAGTGGCAGAGCTAGAATTTACATCTTATTCCTTTGATACTTAAGTCCATTAATTGTAACATTGTCTTTATTTAAATTTGTATCCCTGGGGAAGGCAGGGAGGTGGTGATAGTTTCTTTTCTACTCAGAAATAGAAAACTAACAGACATTATTTACTTGGCCTCCAATAAGTGCTATTTAAATTTCTATTTAAGCTTTTCCCCTAAAATTCTAAATGATCATCACTAAAGATTTCGAGTTGGAATATTCCTACTCGAAATCTTTAGTGAAATACTGACATTGGGCATATTTGTCACTTGATGGATTATCATTTGACTTAAATATTTATTTGTATAATCCTAAATTAAGGCATACTCAATGTCTCCCCCAGAGAGAGCAAAGATAGGTTTTTCCCTTTGATTTCCTATTTAGTTTTCTTCTTTCCCAATCTCATCTATCCTAGATTAGATCATCTACTTACATACCAGATTCCTTATTTTTCTCCTTCACACACAGATATTAAATCTATCAGTATAGCCCAGCTGGCATGGCTCAGTGGTTAAGCCTCGACCTATGAACCAGGAGGTCACAGTTTGATTCCAGGTCAGTGCACATGCCCGGGTTGTGGGCTCGAACCCCAGTTTGGAGCGTGCAGGAGGCAGCCGATCAATGATCCTCTCGCATCATTGATGTTTCTATCTCTTTCTCCCTCTCCCTCTCTGAAATAATAATAAAAATATGTTCTCAAAAAAAATCTACCAAAATAACAATGATATATATTTTTTAAATATATTTTGTTGATTTTTTACAGAGAGGAAGGGAGAGGGATAGAGAGTCAGAAACATCGATGAGAGAGAAACATCGATGAGCTGCCTCCTGCACATTCCCCACTGGGTATGTGCCCGCAACCAAGATACATGACCTTGACCAGAATCGAACCTGGTACCCTTTAGTCTGCAGGCCGATGCTCTATCCACTGAGCCAAACCAGTCAGGGCAACAATGATATTTGATATACATTTTAAAATACTATATTTTCATTTAAAAAATTTTTGGTTGAGTTTTGTACATAAAGGATCCAATATATGTTATGAGAGCCCTTTGGCTGTTACTTCCTCTTCTCTCTTCTTTTAAAACTTTATCACCTTAGTTGTACTACAAGGAAAAACAAAATACTCCTATAATTATGAGATTACGAGTGAGTTTGCCATGCCAAAAAGCAATAATTTAAACAGGAAATGTGATCTCATCTGGCTTTCAATTGGCACCTACTGTAATGGAGATGTTCAGATGAAGTACAGAGGACCAATGAAGGCTCATGGGATGTGGACTTTACATGTCAGCGCATTTCTAAGACATGGTCTTGAGTGGTAAACTGGGATGCTAGTCTTCTAGGACAGGGATCAGAAGGATATCATTTTAACTCAGCAGTTATTTGCCTCCTGGATTCCAGATTTTACCTTCTTTTACTTTTAGTGAATGGTGTGTATATATATATATATATATTTCAGAGAGGAAAGGAGAAGGGAGAGGGAGCTAGAAACAACAATGATGAGAGAGAATCATTGACAGCCTGCCTCCTGCATGCCCTACACTGCGGATCAAGCCCACAACCCGGGCATATGCCCTGAATTGAACCACCTACTGTTTCATAGGTTGTAGTTCAACCATGGAGCCACGCTGGCTTGGCTAATGAGTGGTTCTAAGAGTTCTAACATTTTACATCTTTGGAGAGGGGAAATGTTCTCACTTAAAACCTGCTTTGAACAGCTAGGGCTGACAGCTTTACCATTTCTGCTGTCTTGTGGTATTGAACCTAATATTCCTTAGTTATTTAAAAAAGAGATTCCAATTTTTATGTCATTCTCAGTGTTGTATAAATGTATGGTTTTTTGGTTTGTGTTTTCTCATTTTGATGTATTTAAACATAATTAAATTTCAGAATCGTGAACCTCTGATGCCATCTCCACAGTTTATCAAATCTTACTTCAGTTCTTTCACGGATGATATAATTTCTCAGCCCATGCTTAAAGGAGAGAAGTCTGATGAAGATAAAGACAAGGAAGGGGAGGTTTTAGAAGTGAAAGAAAAGTAAGTGTGTTAAGTATAGTATCTGCTTATTGTTTTGAGGGAGATTTTATATATATATGTATAATGTGTTTCAATGATTTCACACAGAGAGGAAGGGAGAGAGAGAGAAACATCAATGATGAGAGGCAATCATTGATTGGCTGTCTTCTACACATCCCCTGCTGAATCTTAGATGAATCAAGCCCTGACCAGGAAGCGAACTGTGACCTGATTCTTGGGTCGACTCAACTACTGAGGCACACTGGCTGGGCTGGGGAGATTTTTGGTTTTGTTTTATTTGTGTGTTTTTTTAATATATTTTTATTGATTTCAGAGAGGGAGAGGGAGAGAGAGAAACATCAAAGATGAGAGAGAATCATTAATCAGCTGCCTTCTGCATGCCCCACACTAGGAAATCAGGTCCACAACCTGGGCATGTGCCCTTGACCAGAATCGAACCTGGGACCCTTCAGTCCACAGGTTGACACTGTCCTCTGAGCCAAATCAGCTCGGGCTTGTTTTTGTTTTTTACATGCATAAATGGGGCTCTGGCTCCCCCCCCCCCAAAAAAAAATTAAATATCATGATAGCATTGTTATAATAAAAATACTTCTCACATGTGTCTATTACACCCTGAGAGTTATTTCGCTGGTGGTTTAAGGTTTTACTGGCAGGAGTTTGCCCTGCTTTTAGGGTCCTGGTGATATTCTCAAGAGAATTCCCAATGAGTGAGGTGCTCAACTGTATTCAAATAGGGACACTAACTTAAAAATTATTATGTAGTTGAATATCCAAATGTTTTAGTGCTGGGAAGTTTATAATATATAAACTGAGATGCTTAGGAGTACCCAAAAATGACTTTCTTCAAGGTTTTTTTCTGCTTGCCTGGGAAGATGCCATTCTCTAGGCTTCCTGTGTTTGCTCTTATGGAGAACAGTATAGGATGCCATGTTTACAACTGGAGATCAGTCTAGTACATAAGCCATCTAGCCTGCTTGTCCTTTTGTCTTTGTCAGTACTTGTGTTTTGATGTTAAGGCTAGCTGTCCTCTCCAGGAAAAGGTACAATATTGTTACCAGAATAACATTTCTAAATGAATTTGGAAGAAAAGGAAATATTTTTATAGCAAAGCATAGTTTGGCATGTATAACAGATTAGAATGTTTAAGGAAACAGATTGCTCTTTGTTCTTTTTTTAAGAGTCTCTTAACCAGCTTTTTATTTTATTTTATTTTAATTCATTGGGGTTACTGGTTAATAAAATTATGTAGATTTCTGGTGTACAAAGTCTCATTCCATCACCATTTACCCCCCCTACACCCCTTTCGACTCCTCTGTCCCTCTGGTAATCACCATACTGTTGTCTGTGTCTGTGAATTTAGTGTTTTTTGCTTAACCCCTTCACCTTTTCACCTGGCTCCCTAGCTTCCTTCCCTTCTAACATTGTCAGCCTGTTGTCTGTATTTATGAGTCTGTTTCGGTTTTCTTTGTTAGTTTATTTTATTCATTAGATGCCATACGTAAGTGAAATCATATGGCACTGCCTTTCTCTGACTGGCTTATTTCACTTAGCGTAATTCTCTCTGGGTCCAGGAAAGAGATCTATCTCCCAATTTTTCCAGCATTGTTGGCCACCTTTTAAGGAGGAAGATACTATGCATAATGGTACTAAGATGTTCAAATTTTAGTTAGTTGATACTCAGTCTTTTCAGAAGATTGTTGTTGGGAAGTAAATGTTTAAAATGATGCCAATAATTTCCTCTTCTGGTTAGGAAAAAGGTCATTTTCCCAGAAAAACTACAATGATGTTAATACCATTATTCTAAAAGTTACATTGAGGTGGCAGGACATAGCTACCTCTCACCAGAACACTAGCTGGAATTGGGCCTAAGTTTTTGAATTCCATTTTACTCTGAACCTTAGCTTCATCGTTTTTTAACTGGGGCTGATAATACTTACCTTTGAGGGTTATTGTGAGGTTTAAAGGTTATATTTGTGAGCATGCACTTAGGTTCTCAATAAGTAGGAGCCATTATTATTTCCATACTGATTTAATAATTATGTTTTCTTAGCCTGGTGACCTGAGGAACAAAACTAGAGTAGAAGGGGGTTTTAGAATGTGACTGTAGGGAAGGTTATTAACATAGAATTCGTAAGATTTTGACCAACAACTTTTTAAAAATATGTTTTTTATTGAGTTCAGAGAGGAAAGGAGAGGGAGAGGGATAGAAACATCAATGATGAGAGAGAATCATCAATTGGCTGTGCTCTGCATGCCCAACACTGGGGTTCAAACCCGCAACCCAGGCATGTTCCCTGACTGAATCAAACCATGATTTCCTGGTTCATAGGTCAGTGCTCAACCACTGAGCCACACCATCCAGGCTTGACCAACAACTCTTAAGTCATTTGCCAGTTTTCTCTATTCAAAATATATAATAACTGGAATGAGAAAATGCACTTTCATTTACAATACTTTGTTTATAATACCCCTTATAGGCTCATCTATTATAAATTCCTTTTCAGTTCAAAGAAATCTCTCCTGTGAGCGCCCTTGATAATAGCCATCATCTTAGATGAATAATGATATTGTGGTCACTGAATTTTAAGAAGTAGGGAAGGATGTCGTTAAAGTTTCTTCTATGGGAGAATCTACCTTTAAATTTGCTTCTTTGATATTTCCACCTATTCTTTCTAGGTCTGTTCTTACAAGTAAAACAACACAACTTCTAGATGAGAGCCTTGCAGATATTTCTCTGCTTCTAGTCTTGCTCCCTTGCTTATCTTTTCAAAGCACAGCTTTGGTCACACCTCTTCCCTGGGCTTCTGTGGCCCTGAGCTGACTTATTTCCTACTAGAGGCCTAGTGCATGAAATTCGTGCACTCGGGGGGCTGGGGAGTGGTGGGGGTTCAGCTTGGCCTGCGCCCTGTCTCAGTCTGGGAGCCCTCAAGGGATATCCAACTGCCACAGAGGCGGGAGAGCCTCCCCCCACCACTGCTATGCTTGCCAGCCGAAAACCTGGCTTCTGGATGAGCGGCGCTCTCCCTGGGGGAGTGCACTGACCACCAGGGGGCAGCTCCTGCATTGAGTGTCTGCCCCCTGGTGGTCAGTGCATGTCATAGTGACTGGTTGTTCCATTGTTTGGTCGATTTGCATATTAGCCTTTTTTTTATATAGTATTTCTCTATCCTTTCTGTTAGTCATAAAATAACTGTTGCATGCCACCAATGTGCCACCGATAAGAAAGTGAATAAGACTTGCACTTTTCATTTCACGTGTTTAAATGTTGAAGCTTGGGCAGTAACTGCAGGTTTCTGCCACTGACTGCTGATTCCTTTTTAAAAAGTCTTCAAGGCATCAAAAAAATCTCAGTCTGTATCAAGATTCCCATTACCTCCTGCCCTGCTGCTGTCCCACACTGGCCGACTAGCTTGTTAAGGGGAAATGGACATTTTCTTAACTCAGGTGTACTAAATGTGGCAAGTTTTAGCATTTCATCTTTTCTTCGTAAATGATTTCCTGTGTTCATTTTTATTTTCAGTTCTGGATATTTAAAGGCCAAACAGTACATGGAAGAAGAAAACTATGACAAAATCATAAGTGAATGCTCAAAAGAAATAGATGCTCAAGGCAAATACATGGCAGAAGCATTATTACTGCGAGCTACCTTCTACCTGCTTATTGGCAATGCCAACGCAGCAAAACCAGATTTAGACAAGGTCATCAGTTTGAAAGATGCTAATGTGAAGGTACGTTTTTAAAATGTGCTTTTGTGCGTGTGCAAAAATTAGTAAAAATGAGGCTTTTGATGTTTTGCCAAAATTTTGGCATTTCAGTTGTCATTCTCCAGAAGGCTACTTTTGCTTTGGAAGAAACTACACCTAATGAAGATTGAGTTGGTGTAATGAAACTGCAATATAAATATCAATGATGTTTATTTTTAGCTAGGAAAGGAAAAACATTTTTTCTATATCATTTGGTAGCTTCACCTCTCGTTTGTAGCACTGCCTATGTCAGTGATGGCGAACCTTTTGAGCTCGGTGTGTCAGCATTTTGAAAAACCCTAACTTAACTCTGGTGCCGTGTCACATATAGAAATTTTTTGATATTTGCAACCATAGTAAAACAAAGACTTATATTTTTGATATTTATTTTATATATTTAAATGCCATTTAACAAAGAAAAATCGACCAAAAAATGAATTCGCGTGTCACCTCTGACACGCGTGTCATAGATTCGCTATTACTGCTCTAAGGCAAGATGACCTAATTACTGATCCTGGGAAGCATGTCCCCCCTCCTACCTCAGGCTCTTTGCACTTGCTGCTCCCTCCTCTCCTGGTGCCGTGTCACATATAGAAATTTTTTGATATTTGCAACCATAGTAAAACAAAGACTTATATTTTTGATATTTATTTTATATATTTAAATGCCATTTAACAAAGAAAAATCGACCAAAAAATGAATTCACGTGTCATAGGTTTGCCATCACTGGCCTATGTAATGGATTATATTTGGTCAGGGTAATGGTGTAGGTAATGCTGTAAGTAATATGCTACAGGTAATACAAGGTTTAAAGTGCATTTAATAAAAATAAACACATTTAATAATATATTCTGAAAGATTTTATTATGATGCCAGTAATTTTTTATCTTTAATGTGAAGAAAAATACAGGTTCTAAAAATATGATATAGGTACTGAAATATACCAGAAGTTTTGCAGTGTGTCGTTGGAATAGCTTTTCATTTTCCAAGTGTTCTTATGTGTATGTAGTTGAATTTTGAGAGCTCTCTACTAAGTATAACATGACAGAACTCAGCCACCAGCTAATTCTCTTCCTTACCAATTTGTTCACTCTGACCTGTTTCCTCATGAAATTAAGTAAACTCTGGCTTTTTCCACCTACAAAGAAATCATTTGTTTATAAAACTTGTTATAAAAACTTAAGTATTTGTCAATAAATATCTAAACTTTTTGTAAACAAAAGTAATAACAGTGTTTAGTTCCTTTTAAAATGAAATTTTAAAATTGAAGATACCCTAAGTAATATTTTTAATTTTATTTTCTAATGAATTTCCTACTGATTACAAATATGTTGTTAGGTGTTCTTGTTAAAATGTGGGAGCATTCTTGTTCATTTCATTCAGGAAGACATATGTAGTTTTGCCTTGAAAGAGTTTTGGGAATCTCTGTATCTTGCTTTATTATGATAATGACTTTTTGTTTGAATGGCAAGTAGTATTGATGTCTATCATATGCCATGTACAAAAATTAACTCAAATGAATCAAAGACCTAAATGTAAGAGCTAAAACTATAAAACTCTAAGAAAAAAAAACATAGGAGGACATCTTACTTTGGATTATGTAGTGATTTCTTATATATGACACCAAAAACACAAGTAACAGCAATAAAGAAAAGACTTCATCAAAATTTTAAATTTTTTTGATTGAAAGGATGCCATCAAAAAAGAGAAAACACATTGCACAGAATGTGAGAAAATAAAAATTCTATATCTGATAAGGGGCGTGTATCCAGAATTATTAACTCTTCTTACTAAAACAATTCAATTTAAAGACAGGTAAAGGCTTTGAATAGACATTTTCTCTAAAGAATCTATAATAATAAAAGCATAATATGCTAATAAGACCGGATGTCCTTCCTTCTGGACAAAGCCGCAGTGGCGAGCCAAGGCCCTTGCACAAATTTCGTGCATTGGGCCTCTAGTATATTAAAATAGCCAATATGGACAGGAAAAGATGCTCAGCATCATTAACTCTTAGGGAAATTCAAATCCAAATCACAATGAAATTTCCCTTCACACTCACTAGGATGACTATTGTCAGAAAGTGGACAGTGAGAAGTATTGATTAGGGTTGTAGAGAAATTGAAACTCATACATTGCTGGCAGGAATGTAAAATAGTAAAAATCCTTTTGGAAATTAGTTTGTTTAGTTTCTTTTAAAATGAAATTTTAAAATTGAAGGTACCCTAAGTAATATTTTTAATTTTATTTCCTAATGATTTTCCTACTGATTACAAATATGTTAGGTGTTCTTGTTAAAATGTGGGAGCATTCTTGTTCACTTCATTCAGGAAGACATATGTAGCCATTCATACAGAGTTACAATATGACCCAGCAATTCCTCTCCTAGACATATACCTAAGAGAAAAGAATATATATGGCAACACAAAAACTTGTACATGAATGTTCATAGCAGCATTATTCATGATAGCCAAAAAGTGGAAGCAGCTCAAATGTCCATCAAGGCATGAGCTGATAAAGAAAAGTGGTATACAATCTATAATAATAAAAGCATAATATGCTAATTCGACCAGATGTCCTTCCAGATGACCTTCCATATGAAGCCGGGGTCCCAGGTGCCAGAGGGAAGCCGGGGGAAGGAAGGCCTACTCTTGCACGAATTTTGTGCATTGGACCTCTAGTAGAATAATATTCAGCCATAAAAAAGAATGAAGTACTGATAACATGCTATAACACAGATGAACATTAAAAACATACTAAGTGAAAGAAGCCCTTCCATTTTAATGAAATGTCCAAAATATACAAATTCATAGAGATAGAAAGTAGACTGATGGATTAGAGAGGAAATGAGAAGTAACTGCTAATATGTATAAAGTTTCTTTTGGGGATGATGATGAGATTCTGGAGTTAGATAGTGGTGATAGTTGCACAACTCTGAATATACTAAAAACAACTGACTTTAAATGAGTGAGCTTTGTGGTATGTGAATTATATCTCAATACAGCTGTTTGTTTGTTTGTTTGTTTGTTTTTAAACTACATTGGAATAAAAAGTAGTAATGATGACCCTTTTCTCATTTGTGGCATGTAGCTTCGAGCAAATGCACTCATCAAAAGAGGCAGCATGTACATGCAACAGCAGCAGCCTTTGTTATCCACTCAGGATTTTAACATGGCTGCTGACATTGATCCTCAGAATGCAGATGTTTATCATCACCGAGGACAGGTAAATCTATTTTCTTACCAGGAGTTCTGACCTTGGATTGAGGAATTTGATACCCATATTTGAGAATGTCTTAAAGTTTTCTTATATCAATTCTGATAGTTCTGAACAAATTATCACAGTCTCTTGAACATTTGTCCTTATAATATCAGTATTTACTTATTAAAAAGAAGAAAAGGAAGGCTACAGATATTGGCTTGCCAGGGTAAGTTTGTTTTTCAGGTGTTTCTGATTCATAGGTTTTCAATGAGTAGAACATTAAAAACATTTAATGAGCATTTTGAATTAATGCCAGAAGCAACACAATGGTTTTTGTGGGCTTCATGCTGTCAAGAAGTAGTTAGCGTGGACTATCCAAACAATACCAAAAAAAAAATCTTAATTGGAGATTTACAACCTGCATATTTGGTTTTTAGTAAAAAATATATATATATATTGAAGTAAACAGTTCCCAGTTTTAGCCTTATCTGGGGAAAGCATGGCGTTTTAATCTGCTTGTTTAACATGACTTGGTGGAATGCATTATGGTAGAAAGTATGGACTATCCATATAACAACAGAAATGCTGAAGTGCTAATGGAGAATTGTACCTAATATTTCTGTCTGATGAAGGGTTTGAAGAAGAAACCCTTAAATGACATTCTTAAAATTCATGACATTTTGATCCTTACTGATAGTATCTTAAGGTTAATTTGAAAGGTAATTATTGGATGATCTGATTTGCTTTGAAATGTGAAAGTACAGAAATGTCTATCTTTCTAGAAGAAAAGGTTTCTTGTTTAAGAGTGGTCAAACTTGCAGTGCAAAAATGGTGGGCTTAAAGTGCTTTTTAAGAAATTGGACACTAGTTTTAAGTTGTAGAAGCTTTCCTTTAAAATTACAAAATTTTCTAGTTTATTGTTTTAGAAAGTAATTCTATATTGAATAATTACTATATGCTATTAGCATTATACTGAGCTTTGATAAGAGACAGTACGTCTCTTAACTGGGGGTGGGTGCACTTATTATTTTGAGTTGTGTTTAGTTATGTGTGTGGTGTTTTTTTTCTTAGCTGAAAATACTGCTTGATCAAGTTGAAGAAGCAGTGGCAGATTTTGATGAATGTATTAGATTAAGACCTGAGTCTGCTCTGGCACAAGCACAGAAATGCTTTGCATTGGTAGGTTCTGCTTTCTTTTTATATTCCTACACATCATTTTTACTTCCCTCATTGTCTATAAAATCATCTTTTTCTTTTTCCCCCCAAAAGGATACCCATAGGGGGAAAACAAGTTAGTTTAGAGAAAGAAATGTATACATATATGAATTGAGATACTGCTTCTGTATTTCTCTGGTTGTATTATTTGAGTTCATCTTGATAGATGTTTATCCCTGATTTTCATGCTCCCCTGTATAGCACTGTTCTTTCTGTTCCTCCACCATAAACTAGTACAGAGAACAAAAGCATTTTGAGGAACTAATAACTGCAATCATGACACTACATTAACTGCAATTTCATCTCACCTTTGTAAAGCTATATAATAATCAGAAATGCTGAAAATCAAGTAAAATAATTCAATTTATAGTGAAATGAGGTGAATCTTGTGAACCATAGGAAATGTCCAAACCTGTAAGAATTTTTATGAGTTTATTTGAGCCAAACTGACAATTACCAGGAAGCAAAATCTCAACGGATTGAGAAAATGCTTTGGAAAATGGCGGTTTTGCACCTTCCTTGTACATTACCATGTGGGTTACATGGAAATCATTGATGATAGATGAAGGAGGCTGGAGAAAACAAAGTGGGGAAACCTCTGGGATTGAATGAAAAGTAAAATGATAGACACATCTTTTACATAGCTGGATACAGGGTAGTTAAGAGTCAACAATTAACATGATGCTTGAGGGATCCAGAAAAAAGGAAATTACTTTGTTATTGCAAAGGCATGTTTGTCAGCATGCTATTCTAGATGCAGAGAAAACAGACAAGCTCAGTTAAGGTGACCTTTGTTAGGGAAAAATACTATCTTTGGACATGACTACCCACCATAAACTGCTTTTAATTAGAAAGTTTTAATTTCAGACCATCCTATGTGGATACTTTAGGTCTCACACAGGCCTCTCCTGAGCTCGCCAGGTTTAGTGTGTGGCTCCTTTTCGTCCACACTCGATAGTTTGAGTCCTAAAATAATTTTCCTTTTAAAGAAAGAAATTAGATCACAAACACATTTACAGTTATGCACTGCTTAACAATAAGGATACATTCTGAGGAATGTGTCTTTAAGTGATTTTGTTATTGTGCGAATATCACAGTACATTTACACAAACTTAAGTGGCATAGCCTACTAAACACCTAGGCTATATGGGATAGCCCAGTGGTCAGCAAACTCATTAGTCAACAGAGTCAAATATCAACAATACTACGATTGAAATTTCTTTTGAGAGCCAAATTTTTTAAACTTAAATTATATAGGTAGGTGCATTGTTATTAACTTAATTAGGGTACTCCTAAGGCTTAGGAAGAGCCACACTCAAGGGGCCAAAGAGCTGCATGTGGCTCACGAGCTGCAGTTTGCCGACCACTGGTATAGCCCATTCCTCCTAGGCTGCAAACCTGTACAGCAGGTTACTGAATAAAACAACATGGTGTTGAATCAAGCACCAGAAAATTATGCAGTTGAGAGATGCAGTAAATATGAAGTATATGAGGCTGCAGCCTGCATAACACAGCATATATACTTTTGACAGCAAACTTTTTGTAAGTAGAAAGACTGTACTCAAAGATAATGATAAAGTATTTAGTCTTTTAAATCTATAAGTCAGTAACATAGTTCTTTATTATCAGTATCAAGTATTATGTGCTGTACATAACTGTATGTGCTATACTTTTATATGACTAGTAGCACAGTAGGTTTGTTTACACCAGCATTGTCACAAATGCGTAATGCTGTTGGGTGGCTAAGTCACTCGGCAGTAGGAAATTTTCAGCTCCGTTATAATCTTATGGGAACCATCATCATAATTGCGGTCTGTCCTGTATATTATAGGTGAAAAATGATACTAGATAAAGTAACATAACATTTGTAGTAAAGTGATAATAAATTAGGTTTAAAACTCCCCCATATATATGCAAAGTTAAGTTCTGACACATTAGAATGCCCCCTTCTCATGAACATCCTGGAATCTGTATGTCAGCAAAGTCCTAGCTGTACGTAGCCTTTAGATTAGATGCCCTGCTGCTGAGCCGTTTTCTTGGAACCCTTGTGTTTATTATTTATTTATTTTTGATAAGTCTCACCCAAGGACATTTTTCCCATTGCTTTTTAAAGGGGGGGGGGGGGGTTTGAGAGAGAGAGAGAGAGAGAGAGAGAGAGAGAGAGACATTGACATTGATGTGAGAAAGACATATCAATTAGTTGCCTTCCATACATGCCCTGACCAGAGCTGGGGATTGAACCTGCAATCCAGGTATTGGCTCTTGACTGGGAATTGAACCCATCATCACCCCTTCTTGCACGGACCTATGCTTTAACCCCTGAACACCACCAACCAGGGCTTCCTTGTTACCCTTGTAGATGCAGCAAATTATGTTAGCATAACACCTGTCTTTCTGGAAATATTTATGTAATTTTGTGTAACTTTTATAATATGTTAACATTCCATGAGTTTTGAATTCTTGATTTAACAGGCTTGTTTTGATTTTTCAAACAGTATCGCCAGGCATATACAGGAAACAATTCTTCACAAATCCAAGCAGCTATGAAAGGGTTTGAAGAGGTCATAAAGAAATTTCCCAGGTGTGCTGAAGGCTATGCGCTATATGCCCAGGTAAATGTGATTTTTCATACTTTTTTAGTTGCCAGTCCTTTTTTTAAAAGATCTGACTTGTGTGCTGTATCCCAGTAGAGAAATCAGAAAACAATGCTTTGTTTCTTCTGTGGTTCTCTGGGGCCCACAGGGTGGTCCCGGGCCCCTTCAAGAGGGGCTCCTATGTGACACAATTTGAAAACCATGACCCTAAACTCATAATGTGGGGAAGTGTAAGCAGAACATCTCCCTTATGTTTTTATTTAGATTGGATTTATCAGATTAACTTAGGAAAATTTAATATAGTCAATTGGAAGAGAAAATGTTTATGGAAGCCTTTTGTTTCTATTTGATCATTATCCTTTTAAATGATTAGATAGGCTGTAACAGTTCATTTTAACTCCTCTTTGGTTTGTCTAAAATTCTTGGCTTAGGATTGAAGCTTTGGGGGAAGTATGATTTAAATTTGAATTATTTCCACTGTATAATTGAAATCTTTGAAAACTTACTAATTTTAAAAAGTTGCTTTTGGTGTCTGCATAAATCTATCTCAATACTCTATATGATTTCTTTTTTTTATTTCAAAGAAATGTTGTCACACCCACCCACACATCTCAGAAATAGAAAACATTTAAAAATTACCATCTGTGGTAGATTTCTACCTCCAAACCATTCTTAGGTTCTTTGTTTTTCTTTTAAAGTTCCTTCATGCAATCTTCAGTTAAGTTTGGGGTGGAACTTTTTTGAGGATTTATTGTAAGGGAATGTGAGAAGACTGATTTGTGTTGCATCTATTCTTTAGTAGTTCTACATATCCATGTATTATCAGAAATTGAAATTCTCTAATAACTCTCTGGGGCATGAAGTAAACACAAGTTTTTTAATCTCATTTAGAAGTAATCTTATCTCTTCAGTCTTTGTCCTTACAGTTGCTAGCAGGGTGGTGATAATAAAAAAAATGAAACAATAGTTGCTGACCACCTGCTCTGTATTCATTGTGAAAGCATCCTATATAATAAAAAGCTAATATGCAAATTGTCCCCTTGGGAGTTCAACCAGGAGTTCTATTGCTCGATATGATGTGCGCTGACCACTAAGGGGTGGGGGGCCTAGAACATGGTAGGTGACCAGCTGCAGTGGCAGGCTGAGGGAGCAAGGGAAGGAGGAGGCAGGGAGGCCAGGAGGTGAGGAACCTGATTGGACCTGATCGCCCACCAGGTCTAGGGACCCTACCTGTGCATGAATTTCATGCACCGGGCCTCTAGTGTACTATATAAAATTTTGTAGAATGTATAGAGTTTAAAATAAGAAAATGCACATTATAATTGTGTAACCTTTGTATTGAGTAGGTACACTTGGGTTTATGCCTTTTATTAGGAACAAAGCAGAAGGGACAATACCATCAGCATCAATGAAATGAAGTTTTAAAAAGCCTTTTTGATGCAGATTTCTATAATCAGCTAAAAGAACAAAGGCCACTGAATAGCTTTTTAAAAAAACATATATTAGGAACAGCTCTCACAGAGCTTTCTTAATTGCATTGTCTTGTCACTGTGCTACCTTCAAAATAGGTTTTGGCTTACTTGAGCTATCTTTATTAGCACTAATATCATCACAGTCTGTGCTAAAATGTCTATCCTTTGGTTTTCTTATTTTTGCTTCACTATATACATAGTTATATGTCATTTTATATATGTACTAGAAGCCTGATGCACGAATTCGTGCAAGAGTAGGCCTTCCTTCTCCCGGCTGCCGGCACTGGCTTCCCTCTGGCACCTGGGACCTGGGCTTCCCTACCAGCCCCAGTTTCATCCAGAAGGACGTCTGGTCTAATTAGCATATTACCTTTTTATTATTACAGACTAGAGGCCCAGTGCATGAAATTCATGCACTGGGTGCGGGGGTGTCCCTCAGCCCAGCCTGCATCCTCATCACTGGGGGGATGTCCAACTGATGGTTTAATCATGAGATTGGGCCTAAACCAGCAGTCAGACATCCTTCTCACAATCCAAGACCGCTGGCTCCCAACCACATGACTGCCCCTAACTGCTTCTACCTGATCACCCCCTAACCACTCCCCTGCCAGCCTGATTGACACCTACCTCAATACAGGAGCTGCCTCCTGGTGGTCAGTCGCCCCCACACCGCCGTTCAGCTTCTGGGTCAGTGCACTCACAGCTGGCGAGCACAGCTGTGGGGGCAGGAGCCTCTCCCGACTCCTCGGCAGCACCTCTGAGTGGCAGTGGCAGTGGCAGGTGCAGCGGGCTAGGATGAGCGTGAGCGGCGTGGCACCGGCTTGGGCTCCTCCTTGGCTGCCTGCAGGGATCAGGCCTAAACCAGCAGTTGGACATCCTCCAAGTGGTCCCAGATTGTGAGAGAGCACAGGCCAGGCTGAAGGACCCCTCTCCCCATGCACGAATTTTGTGCACCGGGCCTCTAGTAGTTATATATAATTAATCCTTACCAGAGGATATTTTTCCCATTGCTTTTTAGGGAGGGAGGGACAGAGGGAGGGACATGGTGTAACTTAAAGTTACAGTTTGAGTATGATCTGGTATCCACATAACCAACCCTTTGATTTCTGCCATGGAATTTGCTTTAAAATAGTTCATTGTAACTGCTTTTTTTTTTTAAATCAATTTTTAAAGAATGACTGATAACATTTAACACACATACCTGAATTTATCCTTCCAAATGAGTATTGCCTTTAAATTCCTTTAGGATATATTTTGATAAGTTATGAATAAGTGACATAAATGTACCTATGAAAATCTGATATTAGAACTGGCACCAAGAATGGGGTTTTGTGTATTTCACATTTACCACATCGTTTGCTATTGTATTTAACCACTAGTCAAAAATAGTGGACAATTAAGATTTCATGTTTATAACATAATTAAGTTGTAACATTTTATTTCCTCCAAACATCATAATTTGTAAAGAAATGGATAAAGGAAATAAATTTTCATAATTAATAAGCAATATACTTTTAACTGTTTAGGTTGACAGTTATGTTAATATAACTGAAGTATCTCCTCACCTAGGCATTAACAGATCAACAACAGTTTGGTAAAGCTGATGAAATGTATGATAAATGTATTGATTTGGAACCAGATAATGCCACAACATATGTTCATAAAGGGTATGTATTTTTGTGCTTCTGTTTGTTCCAGTAAAAAACCAAATTTCTTGCATAGTAATAAGATGGATTTCTTTTGGTCACTGAGGAAAGTACTGTAGTGTAGAGTATCACTGAGTTAATAAATTTATTAATGGTATGGATGCTTCACTGTTAATTTTTTAAATTTTACTTATGTTTCATTCTTGTATAGCAATCACTAAATGTACTGTTTCACTTTAGCTTAAGGATTTCAGTTCTGAACATCCTATCAAATGTTGCTTGTGTCAAAATAGGAAACATGGTAGGTACTTGAACTATAATAAAAAAGAAACTTCACTTAAATTTATACAAAGTAAAACAATTAAGCTTACTAGGTAATTTATAGAGCCCAAACTATTGGACACTTTGTCCTTACTTTTTTATTGAGATATAATTGACATAAGATATACTAGTTTCAGGTGTACAACGTAATGAATCAGTATTTATATTTACTGTGAAATTATCACAATAAGTCTAACAGGTCTTTGTACATAGTTATAATTTTTTTTTCTTGTAATGAGAACTTTTAAGATCTGTCTTAGCAGTTTTCAAATACACAATACAGTATTATTAACTATAGCCGCCATGCTATATATTACATTATCATGATTTACTTGTTTTGTAACTAGAAGTTTGTACCTTTTGACTCCTTTCATCAATTTCACTCACCCGTCATCCCTGCCTCTGGCAATCATCACTCTGTTCTCTGTATCTATGAGTAGGTTGGTTTTGGTTGGTTTGTGGTTTTTTTTTAGAATCTACGTGTAAGTGAGATCATACAGTATTTGACTTTCTGTCTGACTTATTTCATTTAACATAATGCTCTCAGGATCCATCCATGTTGTTGCCAATGGTAGGATTCCTTTTTATGGCTTAGTAATATTCCTCGTGTGCATATGTGTGTGCGCCAAGTTTTTCTTATCCATGCATCCATCAATGGACATTTAGGTTGTTTCCATTGACACTTTTTTCATAAGGAATTTAGAATACAAAACAAATGTAAATTGAGAAATAAAAACAATTTGCTGATTATGTACTGTTTTAGGTTTTGCTTTCTTTTTGTAAATAAAAATTTGAGGGCAGAAATTGAGTCATATACTTATATTGTTGCTATTGGCCCATGGTCAATCTGACTGCCTTTTTGCATTTGCAGTTTACTTCAACTTCAGTGGAAGCAAGACCTGGATAGAGGTTTGGAGCTTATCAGCAAAGCTATTGAAATTGACAGTAAATGTGATTTTGCCTATGAAACCATGGGAACTATTGAAGTACAAAGGTAACTTCCAAAGTCTGCTCTTAGGAAATTTAAGGCAGCTCTGTAGATATTTTATCTTTCCATCCTTCTCATTACAGATAAGATACTGTCAATATCCATTAAATTTTTAAGTCTTTAATATGTTATGCCTTTTGAGGCGTGCTTCCCTCAAAACTATGCAACTTTCATTTGCCTTATTGTATTCTTTTTCTAATTTAAAAGTTGTTTAAGTCAAGCATATGTATTACAAAGGAAAATTTCATCTTTTCCAATTCCTGTTGTGTGTTCTTTCCTCTTTGGGGGAATAAAAAGCCTGCAGAGGGCTTAGGCAGTACAGCGTAGCAGCATAAGGAACGGTAGCCAGGTGGCCAAGAGAACTAGGACCCATTACAGAGAAGCAACCAGCCCAGTTGCAGGATCAGCTCTGAGCCTGAGTTTACTTTAAAATCAGGGAGCTAGGTAAGATTTTTTTTGCAACTCTTTTCATAACTTCTTTTGTGTTTGTTTATCCAGAGTTGCACTTGAGATCCACCATTAACAGGTGACAACTGCTTGTGCCATAGAGTTCAGTGTATACCATCTCTTAATACTGAAATTGCCATCCACTTGAGTACCTACTCTATGGCCAGGTACAGAACCTTAGGTGCTTTCCAGATATTATTGCAACTAATCTTTACACCAGTCTTTATAATTAGAAGCTGGAGGTTATATGGTTCTTAGTGTAAATGAAGACTATAGAGCCGAAACCGGTTTGGGTCAGTGGATAGAGCGTCGGCCTGTGGACTGAAAGGTCCCGGATTCGATTCCGGTCAAGGGCATGTACCTGGGTTGCGGGCACATCCCCAGCAGGAGATGTGCAGGAGGCATTTCCTCACACATCCATCCATTTCAGTATCTGCTATATGCCCCGATGGGTTAAATTGACAAGTTACACAAGTGAGCCAAGTAAATAGGAAATGAGCCCGTCTTTCACTGACATCAAAATAACTGATCTTGCCACTTTGCTTGTTAGGAATCAGTAGGAGTTGTAATTTTCTGTCATTCAGCCCCTCCTGGGGTCCTCTGTCTGCTCAGAATAGGCAGATTATAAATACAGGCTGATGAAAATTTTTATGGTTCTTTTTAACTATTCTGTACTAATGGTTGCATGTAAATATTAAATTATTTCTTAATTGTCAATTTGTTAATGTGAATAAAATATTCTTGTATTAGAATAGGTTGGGAAAGCAATTCTTAATCTTTTTGAGCAGACCTGTGGATTTTTCTTAGGATGACGCACATATAAAAGCACTTCGCATTTAAGTTGTTGATAAAGCCTGCGTTAAGGACCCCTGGGTTATGAGGTTTGATGGCTTTTATTTGTGAATTAATTTTAACTTTTAAGAAATTCATTCTAAATCCTGTCTTAAAAATAAAGACATATGAATGGAGTGAAATTGCTCATTACCCTAGGATTTAGCAAACTTGTTGTCTACCTGATATCTGAACTCAAAGTTTTGTTATTGTTGTTGTTGTTAATGTCTATCATGTAGTCATCTGTTGGAATAGGAGGTTAGTCGCCCCACAGGTACACTGTACTTCTTAGTCTAACTGGCATATATAGAGTAGGGACTTAATATTTATTGTAAGATGATATGCATGTATTATATACATAGCTAATACTAGTTACTTAACACAGCTCTTGGTTCTTAGTAAGTTTATATAAAACCATATCACACTTAGATTGTAAACGGTAAATTATATTTTTTGACCAAGCATATTTACCCATTTACTAAAAAATAAGATACTAATTATCAGGCATTGTACTAGGTTCTAGAAATTGAGGGTTGTCCACTAAGGATCTACTAGGATTGTGGTGTATATACATCTATTTATGCATAGAATGACAATAGAACTATGGGAACACTGGGGAGGGAGTAGAAAAATAGTTTTCATGAAAATGCTAGATTTGAACTGTGCCTTAGAAAGGTGAGGAGCTGACTAGAATCAAGCAAACAGGCATTAGTGCAGGTATGGGTGTATGTAGCACAGTCAAGGAATTCAGGTAGACCTGTGTGACTGGAGTGAGGTGCATAGGATGGGAACATGGTGGTAAGAGGTGAGAAAAGGAAGTGGGCTCACAGATCTGTGAAGGTGAGGCCCCTGAGTGCCACTACTATTCTGTGAGGCTATCACTTTTCTAGAGCAGGGCTGGGGAACCTCTGCCAAGGGCCCTTTGGATATTCATAACATCATTCGTGGGCCATACAGAATTATCAACCTAACAGCCTGCTCTATTTGGTCAAACAGGAATTAGGAAGATTAAAAACAAGTCATTTAATTTCTCTACTCGCAACTGTATCTGTAAAACAAGACTATAATAGGTATAATAAGCACACAGTAATTGTAATCAAGCACTTTCTGTGTGCCTTGTTTTACTATAAAGAACCATTTTATTAGAGCTGTAGTTGAAATTTATGGGTCAGACTCAATATAACGTCACTTAGTAACTTCATTGCATTCTGTGAGGAGCTTGTTGAATGAAATGTTTAAAATTTTTGTTCTTTTAGAGGAAACATGGAGAAAGCCATTGACATGTTCAACAAAGCTATTAACCTGGCCAAATCGGAAATGGAGATGGCTCATCTATACTCACTCTGTGATGCAGCCCACGCCCAGACAGAAGTTGCAAAGAAATATGGATTAAAGCCACCAACCTTATAAAATAGGGGACGGGAACATGACTCTCTTTTTAGAAGAAGTTTACCCCCTCTGCAACTGAACCCTAAAGACAGTCATGAACTGTGTTGGATGGTGGAACTTGGTATTTCCTGTTTGTGCTGCTGTCATTCGTTACATCTGTTTCACATTTAAGTGTTGTGGGAGTGGCTGTTAAAGGAAGTGTGCAGTGTTGCAGCTTTTATTCCCTGTGCAACAAAAGCTTAAGACCTGTTCAAGGATTATTAAAATGAAGTTGCAGAGTACAAATGATAATTGGCCATGCAAATAAAACTTTTATTTGTTGATTTGGCACTTTTTTTTTTTTTAGGAGGGCGGGGAGATGGATGATTTTGTCTTTATATGTGTGTGTGTATGTGTGTAATATAAGTATTTTTACAGCATGTTGGTTTTTAAAGTAAGAGTAAATGTTGAAAATTGGTTTCTTTTAGATCCAATTAATCCCTTTGAGTTTTGGGGTTTTTTTGAAAGAAATAAAGCCTACATGGGGATTTTGTTTTTAAGGCAGCAAAACTGGGAGAACCCTTTAAAGTACTGTCAGCATGCACAATGCCTCTAATTCTGCAGAACCTTTGACTCAGTGGCAACTGTTCAGCCTTTTTACCCCTTCAACTCTGATGGATAATGTACATTATTCTTCAAGTCCATAACAGCTGGTTTTCATTGTAAATTATGCAGAAGCAAATATTATGATTGATGTATGTGCTGGAAGACTGAGTTAATGGAGGAATGGACCAGGTAAGAGGTAAGGTGAAATGAATGTGTGTTTTTAATTGCCATGACTATTTTCTGTAATAAGTACTATTAAATAGTGTCTTTTTAAAAGAAAATGCAGGTTGGTTGTATGTTAAAGATCGAGTGTGATACATTCGAGTATTTAATTAGCTTAAAGTTTCTAATGAGAAAATGGGGCTAAAGGTTCAAAAATGAAGTAATTCTTAGAGCCAGAAGCATAGCATTTTCTGAAGCTTAGTGCTTCAACTGTGGCTAAATGTGCTTAAGGAATTGGAGCCAATCTTTTCAAAGATGCTAAGGACCTGTGGAGTGCTTTTATTTTTCAGTTAATCTTGTTCTCTAAAGCCGACTGACTTCCCATGTCCAGGTCTTCATTAGGGATACTGACAGCAGGTTTTTGTTTTGTTTCTCTTTACCTTACCTTTTTACTTAGAAATCACTTTACATTTGGGTTTTTTCCAGTTGTCACTTTTATGGACCATCCCTTTACTTATATGCTGCATTTTTCTGGTGGCTGTGTTCTTAAGGGGTCTCTTGTTTTGAGATGTTCTGGGTAGTGACAGGTTTATTTAAGCCCGAGAATAAAACACCAAGCCTTTAGTTACACTTCCTTGGAAATGAAGTCTAATTAGAGTTTACATTGTTGGGAGTAAAGGAGCATTTTACCCCCCCTTTAAAGGGTGCTTTATCCTATTGAAACCAAAAAGATTGTCTATAAATGCTATCTTTTTAGAAATTATTAGAAATTACTCCCTTCCAAAGTCAGAGTCTGCACAATACTGAGGGCCTCTTACTAATGAGTGGGGGCAGATAATACAATTTAAGATGACTTGGATAATGGAAAATATGAAAGCTCTGCATTTTAGTTATTAGATGATGCTCCTACAATAACCCCTGAACACAGAAATGCTCTACATCTCTGAGTAACCTGTGACTTAGAAAACACAAAACACCACCGTTTTTATTTGCATGGCTGTATTTACATTAACACTAACATTCTCTCTCCCTTTCTACCCCATGGGGCGGGGGGTAAAACCACAAAGGAAACTGAAGCATGTGCCATTCAGTACTGTCATTCCAGTCCTCGGGGACTACTGCCTGTTCTAAGAAATATTTGAACCTGCACTGAAAGTTGCATCTGTCTGTATCTTTACTTTTGTAAATGACCTCATATGTAAATTCACCAAATAAATATTACATTCAAGCTTTTCTATCTCTTCTTGAAGTCTGTTTACAAGCCATCACACAGAATGATGATCCTCCCAAAAATATCCACATCTTCATCCGTGGAACCTGTGGCTGTTGCTTTATATGACAAAAATAAGCTTTGCAGACATGATTCAGTGAAGGATCTTGAGCTGAAAAAGTTAACTTGGATTATGGAGAATTTCCAGTTTGGGTGCCAACAGTTATATACAGTGTGGTATGAAAATATAGATGAGAAGAATAAATTCCTCTAGGACTTAGGTAAAGATTTTCTTTCTATAGAATAGGGAAATACTCATTCTTTTTAAAAAAATATATTTTTAAATATATTTAAAATGGGCAGTGTCATTGATTTCAAAGAGGGAGAGACAGAAACATCAATAATGAGAGAATTATTGACTGGCTGCCTCATGCCCACCCCCTACTAGGGATCGAGCCTGCAACCCGGGCATGTGCCCTTGATGGGAATCGAACCTGGGACCCTTCAATCTACAGGCCAATGCTCTATCCACTGAACCAAACCGGCTAGGGCAACATTTTCTTTAAAAATATAAGTGAAGGGACATTATGAGTTTGAGCTAAAATAAGCCATCCAAGTTAGTCTGGCAAGATGAAGTCCTTTTTTCCAATTGGTGAGGAGATACCAACAGTGAAACTACATGTTTGAGAATTAGCATATATTTAAGACCATGCATGTAGATGAGATTACTTCAGGACAAAATTAAAATTAAAAAGGGTAGCCTTAGCCGGTTTGGCACAGTGCATCGGCCTGTGGACTGAAGGGTCCTGGGTTCAATTCTGGTCAAGGGCACATGCCCGGGTTGCGGGCTCTATCCCCAGTAGGGAGCCTGCAGGAGACAGCCAATCAATGATTCTCATCATTGATGTTTCTATCTATCCCTTTCTGAAATCAATAAAAATGTTTTTTTAAAAAAATTGAAAAGGATAAGGTAGCAATGTACTAGTAAAAGTGGTCAGAGCCAAAACCGGTTTGGCTCAGTGGATAGAAGGTCACAGTGACATTAGAGGCAAAATAGATCTGCCAGGGCAGTGTCATTGGATTGGTGAGAGTGGAAATGGCCTGCAGGCTTCTGAAGAGTAACTGAAAGAAGAAAACTAGTGAGCAGGAATCATTCCATTAAGAGACTGGGAGGTGAAGGGAGTTTTTTTACAGGATGGCATGGTTTTTGTTTTGTTTAGAGGGAGAAACTTAGAGAATGAATCTTTGGACACAATATTAATAAGAATAGTTGCGCCCTGGCCTGTGTGGCTCAGTTGGGCATCATCCCATGCACCAGAAGGTTGCCAATCTGATTCCCAGTCAAGGCACATGCCTGGGTTGCAGGCTTGACCACCCCCCCGCCAATAGGGGGCATTAAAGAGGCAGTCTACTGATGTTCCGCTCCCATCCTACGCCCCCACCCCCCCACCCCCAAACCAAAAAATCTTAAATGAACACAGTCAAACCTTTGGTTCTCAACCTGACAACCCTTTCATGCTGATAGATACATCAGCATGACAAAAAAGTGAAAATGTGAGAGTTTACCACTAAACCTGGGTAACTGCAACACAAAGATAACATCTTGGGAAACTGTGCTGTGAATATTTTTGTGGGTTTGTTTTTGTTTGTTTTGCTTTTCTTGCTGTCGAAATGGACAATTAGGACAGTTTTAAAACAAAAAAGCCCTCAAGAGTGCTAATGCTGCCCTGAGCGGTCTGGCTCAGTGGATAGAGCATCAGCCTGCGGACTGAAGGGTCCCAGGGTCAATTCTGGCCAAGGGCACATGCCTGGGTTTCAGGCTTGATCCCCAGTAGGGAGCATGTAGGAGGCAGCCAACCAATGATTCTCACCATTGATGTTTCTAACTCTCTCTCCCTCTCCCTTCCTCTGTAAAAAAATCTTTTAAGTGCTAATGCTACTAAGGGTGTGAAAGAAACAACACAGGCAATTGAAGAGAGAAAAACGGTTGTTGATTTGGATAAATGAAAGGTAGGTAGGCAATGACAGCATTTTGGAGGCAATGACGTGAAGATGCTGCATACTTACTTCCTGAAAGACACCCCTGGAATGAGTACTGACAGTGATTCACTTAAGGCTGCAGAGGGTGGTTCGATAAATTTTAGGATTGTTTGCTTATAGACATGTGCTGTATAAAAGAAAAGTTAAAACGCAAAATCACTTGAGGGTCTGGGATGAAAAAATGATTTGGTTTTCAAACAAATTGCTCTAGAACAGCTTCAGAATGAATTAAGTCCGAGAACTGAGGTTCCACGGTCGTTGAGCACAAAGGAATACATGTGTAGACTTTATAGTAACAGATTCCAGGAGAAAGTGGAATCAAACACACTGCCTGCCATGCTCCACTTCCGGACTCCTGTCCATCTGAACCAGATATGAAGTAATCAGTGAGTAAGTACCCTTGTATGGATGTGTTTTCGTTATTTAACTATAGATCTGGGGCTTAACTTTTGTTTTTTTGTTATCCTCACCTGAAGATATTTTTCCAGTGATTTTTGAAAAGAGTGGGAAGGGAGGGGGAGAGAGAGAAACACTGATAATTGCTTCCCACAGGCCCCTACCAGGGCCAGGGATCAAGCCTACAACCGAGTTATGAGCCCTTGACTGGAATTGAACCCGGGCCGATGCGCTATACACTGAGCCAAACCAGCTAAGGCTTAACTTCTTAATTCCTGATTTTAACAAGACCATTTTATCCTGAAGTGCGTTCTCTTCCAACAACTAGCTTTATTCTCCAATCTTCACCCAAGAAGAAACAGCTAAATAAAGATGATAGTTTGACCAAAAAAATAAACTGCATACAAAGATAAAGCACAGAGGAGAAAAGTCTAGTATACTTCATAGCCTGAGGCCAGAAGGCCACTGCTAACTCCCTGTAATCTTGGAATGAGACATTTACCTTTAGGTTGGCTACTCTACCTGACAACCCACCTACTATCTATCGACTGGACTTACTACAAGGCAATGTGGCAAAAGCTGGCGTGGTAGCTGACTTTGAGAAGTTTAATGTCCCGAAGGTTCTTGTGCCAAAAAATAAGTACAGTACAGTGCCCTGTTGGGTGCAGAAGAAAAAAGGTGTGAATTGTTGTGCTAAGTTTCTGTCTCTCTCACAGACCAGAACTGAGCAATAGGAGACAGAGCTGAGAAAGAAAAACAAAATATTTGATCAGATGACCTCTGAGGATTTGAATGAAATCTTCCAGAAGCCAAATTAGATAACAAGTATATCAACTGGTCTCACAAGCCAATTGAGAATTTATAAACTTGAGTCTGGGATCAGTTCTATTCTTGTATTATAAACTCTGGACATTAAAAATAGTAATATAGGCCCAGCTGGTATGGCTCAGTAATTGCGCATCAACGAAGAAGAGGTCATCGGTTCAATTCCTGGTCAGAGCATATGCACAATTTTGGGCTCAATCACTGATGGGGGGCATGCAGGAGGCAGCCAATAAATGACTCTCTCTTCATTGATGTTTTTATCTTTCTACCCCTCTCCCTCCCTGTCTCTCCAAAAATCAATACAATAAAATATTTAAAGTGATAATAATAATATAGTGAAAAAAAACACCCACAATACAAAAAGAGCAACATAAGGGTAACAGGCAAACCAGAGGGAAAAGGAATAGAGAGCCTACTCAAAGAAATTAATGAGAACTTCCCTATGGAAAGAACTAAAGTCTAGAACAGAGGAAGCTAACAGAACACCTAATTATATCAACGTAAAAAGATGTTCTCCAAGACATATTTAATTTAAACTATTAAATGACAAAGAAAGAATTCTCAAGGCAGCTGGGGGGTGGGAGGTGGGGGGGAGGGACTGTAACCTGCAAAGAAAACCCCATTAGAGTATCATAAGATTTCTCAGTA